CCCCCACAAACACACACACACACTGATTGAACTGTGAGTGCTACACAGACACACTGACACTCACCATTTGCACTACTGACTTTAACAATGCATAGTGCACTTGTTGTCTGCCGTGCAATATTTTATACACTGTGAACCATGTGCAATACAACTATTTATATACTGTTTTAATATATTTTAAACTGCTGCTACTTATGTGCCCTTTTATGCTGCTGTTGCCGTGTGCCAAATTTATTTAATTTTATATTCCTGTATTTTACTTGCGTAGGGTTGACTAGCAAAGTAAGATTTGCATTGTACGGTGTAACTGTCTGTTTACTGTGCATACGACAATAAATATCTTGAATCTTGAATAATGAAACTGCTTGTAACTTTTCTTATGAAATACTGACATTGCGCATAAGGAGACAGAGAGAGAGGGATCAGCTATGAACAAAAGACAAAATATCTGCTTAACTTGTTGCCAAGTTTTTTGCCCGCAGCTATCAATATTGTCTGGGGTAAAGTGAAAATGTTTCTTGGTGGAGGAATATTGCTTTTATAGCCATTGATTTGTGGGCAGTGTGTTCGGCAAAGTCTCTGACATCTACTGTAATTCTACTCATTGATTGTTTGATTGAAAAACTCTGCCGGGAGACACTTATTATTTTTCTTATTTAGCATTCATACAGATTGTCGGATCCTAATTAGCTGAAACACTTGGGTTTTAAGACGTGCTGGAAAGGTATAATTAACGTTATAAATGGGCTTGTTAATAATTCTGTTCACAGAACTTTTAGTTTAGTTTAGCCCAACACTTGTTTTGAGATAAATTACTTGGAGTGATGACATCCTACTTCATCTAATGTCTGTAAATCCAACGTTTTAAGTCACAATGCCCAATTCAAGCCATAATTGTGATTATAATTTAACAATTTACCCACAAACAAGATACATTTGCTATCAGTCCATTATTGCTTGGCCTTCTGTCATGTAGTAAATGAAGTAGTGAGCCATGTTAATAAAATAAAACCATTGCTGATTGTAAGGTCAACAACATTTAAACTTTTAAAATAAGACTTTGATTACAGAATTGGTAATTGTTATATTAATGCAAACCTGCATTTAGACATCCATTCTCTGTGAATCAGATCATTGATCTGATGGTGCACACATTTGTTTTCATAGCCTGTTAGATTAACAACAAGATTGTTATATGTTAACAGCATAGCACTGTAGTTTTGCCTTGGTTGTAGAATAGCACTGTATAATAGTAGTAAAAAGTATTTTTTTTTCTTGGTTTCTAACATTCTACTTCCTGTTTTGGTCTGCAGTGAACCTTCCTATGTGAGGTAATTCTGAGGTCTAAGTGTTTTGTTTTGTTTCCTCCTCTCCAGCGCTGTACTGCTCCACCCCAGACTCTCCGCTCCACGGCTCTATCTCCTCTCAGAGCGGTGGCCATATTAACAGCGTGGTACGCTGGGCTTGTGACCGTGGTTACCATCTCATAGGCAACGCCACAGCAACCTGCCGCCGCACGGCACTCGGCTACCACGCATGGGACTCTCCTGTCCCTGCGTGTCAAGGTTTGTTTATACTTCAAGCTATTTTGTATAAGTGATGTTATATGTAAGGTAATGTGATGTAATCATTTCAAACTATTATAAATATGAGCTTGAAAAGGTGCGAGCAACCTGGAGAAAAGATATACAAATTAGAAGAAAATTATTTTTGTTAAATGAAGGATTGGTGTCAGTCACATTGTCGCCCAATCATTCTGTGATGTTGCCAACCATTTAAGTGGAATGTTAATTGAGCTAATAAAAATAATTTGACAGTCAGATCAGATTTCTAATTGCCTTGTTAATAAAGTAACTGTTTGAATTGCCAATACAAATGTATCTTATCTGAGAAAATACAACTCAGTTTATCCATGCTATAAAACCTTGAAAACTTATTTTCTTCCTTTAAGCAGCTTGTATCCTTTTTGCTCCAAAATTAAAGTACTGCACATTCATATGAGTAGCACATTCAGTCGGTGTGGAAATGCCACATGAAGATGCTTGTGAATGTCGAATATAATTCATATTATTTGGTATTTGTATTTTAATGAAGACTGTTTCGTAACCTTTTATTTTCTTCCTATTTCAAAGGGTATTTTCAGAATATACCAGATGATGTATTTCAAAGACTATTAGCCTGTTCTACACCGCCCCCCCCCGATACCACAAAGCTAACGCTCTGCCTCTGAATTAGCCATGAGCGGAAAAATGCTGACACATTACTGCACAGAAACTCACTCATAACACCCTTATTACTTATCGTAGCTGCACGTCCAATCCATCGATTCGCATCGTGAGATGGCACAGAATCGATAGGTACATACATCATCACTCCATGATAAGAACTTGCGAAGATATTAACTAGAACAGACATCAAAACATGTGGCGCTAGGTAGCTAAAAACGTCAAAAAGGCTTACCTTGGTCGTTGTCTGGTCAAAAGTGGTCTTCAATGGCATTACAACGATAAAAACGCTGCTGAATGTTAATCCATAGGTTAAACCAGTGGTTCTCAAAGTGGGGGGCGCGCCCCCCCAGGGGGGCGCAGAGGCATGACAGGGGGGGCGCGAGAGACCAGGAGGAAAAATGGTTATNTTAATCCATAGGTTAAACCAATGTGTCTGTTTCCCTTTGAAATGATTTCTGATAATCCATAAGCAATAAACCTGCGTTTCCGTTTCTAGAAGTCAGAGCGAGCGCTAGGTTCGCTCTCATGCAAAACTGCGTGTGCATAGCTCTCATTTCTCAATGGTAGTGTGTGTCTGTATGTGGAAATTCCCCTTCGAGTCTATTGGCTCTAACGGTCAAAAAGAGATGTCAATCACCAAAATCGACAAATGGGTTCCAGAGAAACGGTAAAAATGCCCATTTCCACCCAAATCACCTCAGAGGTGGAGTTTTTTGCTAAACCTCTCTAAAAAGGTCAAATGTCACTTGTTTCGCATCAATCTTGATACAGGGTACTTATTATATGTTGTACTTTGGATTCCTAAAGCTTTTATTCTACCTTACCATCATCCAAGGGTAGCTTTCACTATAAGTAAACAAGAATATTTGGACGGACACTATCATTTACAGTTTTTTACTATGTTCAATCTTAATTTTCTTTAAAATAAAACACATCTATATTGATTCTGACTTTTTTACATCCAACTCACAGGTTTATCATTACTTTGAGAAAAAAGATTATTAATTTAACCCTTTTAAAAGGGAAGATATGGTCATTTGTTCTGAGAATGTCATTTTCGAGCCTGAGACCTGAAAAACAGGCTCAGTGCTTAACAGGTTAGAGGAGTTGTACTTGCTATTTTCTTACACCAAACTTCAAATAGTCATAGAAAGGCACAGCTTGTAGCTGGTATTGATAGAAAGTCAAATGAAGGATGAATAGCAGATTGTCGACACTGTAATTACACGCTGTGGTGCCCCACCAACCAGTCTATTTAAAACCAGTATGGACTGTGGAGCAGCATTTTATGTAAGATGGATGTCTTGTTAGTTGGAACTGAAGATAAAACAATTGTATTTCTTTAGTTTGATGTAGGGTTGCATATTGTTGACTGTTTTATGATACCGATACATATCGTGATACTGAAAAATAATTTAATCATCTCGCAATTACTCCCATGAAGCGCTTTATGATATAGTTAACATGTCAAATGAATATCAAATTCAATTGTGGGACTTGGACCTTTTAGTACGGAACAAACAATGAAAAACACGTTATCTATGAAGAAAACAGATTCTGCAATATCATTTATAACAACCATCAGGCGTGAATAGTACATCTTGTCAATGAAAAAAGAAAATAGCACCAGTATAATCAACATTTAACCTGAGATTTGACTGACCAGAGAACACACAAAAGATCATGAGATCTCGGCATTGCACATAAAACAAATAGCATCATTAAAATCAACATTTTCCTGATGAAAGAAAACAAATCCCATCACAGTTCAGTTTTGTGCATTCATCTTCAAGAAGATGAGCATATCTGCTCTCTGGATCCAAACGGGCCCTTTCACAGCGTAGGATATCACTTGCTGAACTGAACACTCTGTCGCTTGGCACGCTGCCTCCCTGAACACAAAGGTACTTGGTTGCCATACGAGACATAATTGGTTGGAGGTTGGATGCGTTGCCACCTTTCCCAGAAATAAACTTCTTGCAGTGGTTACAGACCCACCATTCAGACTGGCAGTCATATGCAGCCACAATTTAGATTTTCTAAAGTGACTCGTTTGCGGAGTTTCACGGCGAAATTGACATCGTAATTCTGACGGTTTGGGCACGAGTTTAAGGATATTACGACACACTTTTATAAAAAAAAATAAAAATTAATCAAAAACCGGATCTGATTTTGGTGCGGTATACCGTAGCCGCAGTAACCGGTATTTCGGTAATACCGGGAAACGGTATTCACCCCTAGTTTGATGGCTTCATTAGAGAAAAAACTTTGGTTGTTAAACATGTATTATTGGCTTTGAATCCCCACAAACAATTTGGACAAGTAGGCTACAAACCTGCTTCCTGACAGACATAAGTGTTTGTTTGTGTGTGTCCCTTCTCATGTTGTGTATTTGTCCTCCCCTAGCTGTTTCATGTGGGGCGCCCAAGGCTCCTCCAAATGGAGGCGTTTTAACAGCCGACTACTCCGTGGGAACAAGAGTTTCCTATTTCTGTAACGACGGGTACAGACTCTCCAGTAAAGAGCTGACGTCAGCCATCTGTCAGCCTGACGGGACGTGGAGCAACCACAACAAGATACCACGGTGTTCTGGTGGGTAACACTTAGATATCAGCGGAATATTAACACATATAACAAGTCCTCTAGTGTCATAAATGTTTAAATAGCAATAGCATGAATACAAATGTAAATATGAAACTGCTGTGAGATTAATTGCATCAGTTACAAAGAACTTATTTAATATTGAATACAAATAGTTTAATCAAAGGTAATTAAATAATCGTGCACTAAGTGAGATACTAGATTGTAAGCAACGTATAATTAGCATACGCTCTGAGTGGCAGCTATTTTTGGCTAGAACATTGTTATTTAAATAGGGTCATTATTATGCATCTGTTTGATTTTTTACAATGGCTTGGCCCCACTCTCAGCCGGCTTTTTAATATCTGACACAATTTTAAAATGGTAATTGATGGCTGTTGTTTAAATGAGTGTAATTTTCATGTTGTTTCTCGCGCTGTGTCTGTCTCTGTAGTGGTGGTGTGTCCCAGCATTGGCTCGTTTTCTTTGGAGCACGGCCGCTGGAGGATAGTCAACGGCTCACACTACGAATACAGAACTCGCATCGTGTTCACCTGCGACCCGGGATACTACAGATTAGGCCCCGCCCACATCCAGTGCCTATCCACTGGCATGTGGAGCTGGAGAAATGAGAGGCCGCACTGCCAGAGTGAGTAAAACAAAAACACTTGGCGACTGCAACTGCAATACAACATCAGATCACGCATATTTGAATGAGGATTATTCCAAATATTGAATCAAACTGTATATGTGTTTACCCTTAGAACAAAAATACTATAATCAAAGTATAATTAAAAGCTATGATAACAATAGTAGTAAATAAAATAAAAAATATAATTGAGTACAATTTAAAGCCTGGCTCAATAGGTACGTTATAAGTTTATATTTAAAGATTGATATAGTTCCAGCTGTTCTCTGATCATCAGGCTGACTATTCCAGTGTCGACTATTTACCAAAAGCTGACTCACCAAATTCTTTGGTCATTTTAGAACAACAAAATAATTTCCAAACTCATTCAAAATTCAAGATTCAAGATAACTTATTGTCATATGTGCTGTATAACGGGCAGTTGCAATATACAATGACACTTTAAGGCTTATCTCTTCACACTTAAATATTTAAAAAACTATACATACTAACTAACATATAAGATACAAAAAGTAAATATAGTGCATGATGTGCTGCATGATCAAATAAAAAATAAATAGGATATATAAACAGCAGGGTAGAGTATGGCGTATAAATATGCATATGAATAAAAATAGATGGACTTAAAAGTATTGTGTAAAACAATATAGTGACAGCCAGTGTTTGTTACTTTTGTGTTTTTCCTCTGATCCATTTAGTGCAAAAAATTAAAGCAATCTCTTACTTGATTTCTGGAATCTCCTGTGGCCGCCTGGCAACTGATACAAGCCAAGAAATAGCCGGGCACAAAATCCCTTGTAGAACAATGAATTGTTGTGAAAAATATGAAATATTCAAATATTATACTGTATGGGTGAGCTTTAGATCTGCTGGAAGGCGGGTTCAGTTACAAATGAACTGAAAAACAGCTTCTTTCCAAAGCTTCTGAACTAAGACATCTCTCAGACTGACAGGACTGATGTGCTGGCATCACTGCAGCATGTCACTCCAATACACTCATTATGTGCAGTTTACCAAACACGCATTCAACACCCAACACTCATGCTGCTAACACTACTGATAACATCTGTTAGTTATTTTCTATTTTCATTTGTATACCTTTTATTTATTATCTTACTTCTATGTACTACTTAGACTCTGCTCCATTTATTGCTGTTTCCTCCTTCTTTGTAAATATGTATAACGTTTTTAATACAATGTTGCACCATGTGAGGCTGTTGTTATTGCAATTTTTTTGCGCTTAATGACAATAATGTTCTTTGCCCTTCCTAGCTTTTTCCCTGTGTTTCTATGATTTGCTAACCAGCTGTTGGCAGTTCATATTTAATAGACGGATAAGAGAAATGTATAAATGTTCAACATCTAAATCATCCACAAATAAGCGTTTCCTTCAGACGCAGAGCATGTTTTCTGATTACTTTATGTACTTCTTAATACAAATAATGAATGCATGAGCCATTAAAACAAAAAATAAATTATATTTCAATAAATCAAGTGATAACTAACTGTACAAGAAAAATGCTTTTTCTTACAATCCATTCTCGGCTTGACATTTTTGTCTTAAGTTATTTCAAATGTGAGGATTTCTTGACATTTGAATGAATCAATGTTATTTATTTAATGTTCAGAAATGTTTAGGACCCCAAAGCAGAGAAGGACAGTAGTTCAGTTTGAAGGTGTTTAATAAAGAAAGCAAGGAAAATGCAGTTAATGAAGGCAGGGAGCTGCCTGGTTTGCACAAAAAGTCCCAGGCAAAAACACAGAAAGTTGGACTAAAAACTGCAATCTGGAAAACACAAGGCTTGGGCTGCAGAGAGGCACTCTGGATCGTCCAACAACATTCAGTTATCTGGCAGAGTAGTGGAGTGAGGACCAGGCTCTTAAAGTGAAGGTTGATGAGGTGAGTGGGAACAGGTGTGCCTCATCTGCAGCCAGGAGAATACGAGCCACGCCCCCTACCACACACCAGCCAATCAGAGAGGAAGAACAGAGAAGGGGACAAGAACAAGCACAACAACCTAAAAAACATGCAGAAACATTACAATTTACCATTATAGAAGTGTGTGACATTTCAGAAATGACTGTTATATTCTTCATCAGCAATTGTGAATTTTCATTGTAGTAAAAAAGTATGTATTCGTTCCAGATCTGTGAGAGTCATTGGTAGCATAGTTTCTTGAAAGCAATGTTCTTTACCAACAACTAAAATCAACCTGGTGCGTATTTGGTGCATGAGTGCTTTAAAATGGTTTTTTTCTGCCTGTGTGTTTCAGTCATATCCTGCGGAGAGCAGCCATCACTTCCTAATGGGAAGAAGATCGGTACTCAGACAAGCTTTGGGGCTACAGCCATTTACACCTGTGACGCTGGCTTCATGCTGGTGGGGTCAGCCGTCAGAGAGTGCCTGTCCTCTGGGCTGTGGAGTGGAACAGAAACTAGATGTCTAGGTATGTACAGGAATTATTAATATATTCAAACATTTAAGTATGTAGATATATATTAAAGGTCACCTATTATACAAAATCCACTTGTTCACGTCTTTTATACATAAACATGTGTCCCCTCTGTGTAAAGACATTCTGAAAGTTTCAGAAAAAAGATTCTCTCTCTTTTCATCCTGATCCATTTATATAAAAACCTGTCTGGAAATGAGCTAATCAGATTTTGGCCACTTTATGATGTCATAAAATTGTTTTGGCTTGTGTAACTATTAGCCAATCAGCAACCAAGGTAACACTCCCCACCTTATCACCTGAATCTCCTCCTACAGCACCATTGTGTTTAACCAAATACCTCGTAGAGGGGCGTGGGGAGTGGCACCTTATTTTCATCTAAAGTAACAGACTGAGAATCAGCACTTTTGAAACAGGGCTGAAACAGAGGGGATTATGGGATGCTGCAATGCATGATCTGTTTGGTATTTCAAGCCAAACACTTCACAGACATGTTTTCTATATATGCAAGACCTATAATATATTGATGAAAAGTTTTATAATAGGAGATCTTTAAAGTATTTCTAGAAACTGTATTGTATACTTAGACTTAAAATGAAGTCATATTACTGCATGCCTCTCTGAAACACTGACCATTGGAAAGGGGGTTTGAGTTATTTGTTTTCAAGTCAAGATAATGAGGACAGGTATCAAAGGCAGGGTTTGCACAGCTGCTCCGCTCCAACCTCGTCCACCTCCCAAGAAAAACTATTACGAGCTTCTGCTGTGCACTCACTAAATTCAGTTAGAATGCTTTTTATATATATATATATATATAAGCCAGAAAAAAACAGCTTATTTCTTCTGTCAGTGTGCCAGCGAAAGTTAACATATGCTATGACAAGTTGCTGTCACTTCTCTATGAAGCCTCAGTAGAAACAGCGCTTCCCAGAATACTTCACAGGCCGAGGGGGATATGAGATGCAATTTAGAACGGGAAGGTTCATTGAAACTTAACCTAGACTGATGAGGAGGCAAGGTTCTGTCAAAAAATAAATGTATTGAGCCCTAAAAAAGTGCTATAAACAGCATTTTCAGTCAATAACTTTGCCAATTATCCTTTGAACCAAATCTGGCTTTACTGTACTTGTTTTGCTAATTTAAAAGTCGGTGTTGTTGTGTTTCTTATTTCCAATCATCTTTGTAATCAAAGCTGAAGCACAAAATATTTTCTATAATTACCCTCATTTGTTCAATCATGAAAAATGCAGTTTGTACTAATGTCTATTCCTTATACATATCTTTCTGCAACCTTTTCAAGAAAGTAAAAATCGTCTTACTTTAGAAATGCCGCAAAATCTCAAAGACAATGTGGGAGGACAAAGGTTATGCAGAGCAACCTTTTCTCTTCCTGTTCCTTCCCACTCTCCTGGCTGCTTTTGACGCTGTTAGCATTTTGCATTGAAGACACAGTTTAAGAACAAAATCAATACCCAATCCAAAGTTTCTGAGAATGCATTTACTCCAACATTTTGCATTAGATCTGTGCATCAGTTAGACCTTTGGGAAGAATCATGTTTGGTTGGCTGTTAACGGTAAAGCCTGATACTTAATACACACAGAAACATCTTCATTTAGAAGGTAGATGCTTTCGACAGCAATGACACATCTGTGTAAATGCTGTAAGGGGGCAAATTCCCATCAGAGACTTCAACATAAATAGAGAGGCGAAGTCCCGCCCATCTACTTCCGACCCATGGGACCTTATTTCGGAAAAATTATGTATTGAAGTCAATGGGGAGAGAAAACGTATCTTTCGATCCCGTTTGAATTGTGCCACGAATTACACATATGATGTTTGTCAATCTTAAAAAATAATTTCATTGAGCGGTTTCAAACAAAAAAAAGTGTTACTTCACAGTTTTACGACACATTTAATTTTTTTTGACTTGCAAAATTATCTTTTAAATTGACAAACATCATATGCGTAATTCGTGGCACAATTCAAACGGAATCGAAAGATAATCTTTCTATCGCCATTGACTTCAATACATACTTTTTCCGAAATAAGGTCCCATGGAACTCCCCCGGAAAGGGAGGGACTTCGCCTCTCTATGACAGGTTGTCCAATTTATGATAGAGCTTCTCATATTGTTCTTGAAGATGGAGTGCTTGTTTTGCTCCATCTTTGATGTTTCATGGCGTGTGTTTGCTCAGATTCAAATGTTTCATTGACAAGAGAAACAGGTTTCAAGCGGCAATTGCTTATTTTACAGGCTAGCAAAATGTTTCAGCAGATGTTTAAAATCTTAATGTCCCATATGGAGGCAACAAACTGCCTCTTAAGCCGAGATGATGTTAAACCCACAAGGTTTGTTTAAAACTACAAGGCTTGATTCAATTGTTACGGTTTAACTGAGATTCTCTCCCTGTAACCCAGATGCATATCATGGTTATAAGCCTGAACATAAAACATCATTGTCATGAAAAAGTCTTTAGCCCTAGGTTACGTAGGAGATTTGTCAAAAAATCGTAGGGTAAAATTGCACGTTAACGTCAACGTTTTGAAGATTTTCATTTAAATAATGGTCTGTTAATTCACCATCTTTCTATCGCTGAACGAGCCACCCAAAAGGATATTGAGCCTACGGCAAACCGAAATCAAAGCCTTAAGATTTGCAGTGTTAAAAATGTGTTCTCTGTTGCAACATTTTCCAGGAAAAGGCAAGATTGTTTGGATTTCTTTGAAGCGAGATCCAAACGTACATCTACAATTACCCCTTATAAGAGAATAATACATGGAAATCTCCAAGATTTTGATCCAATACAAGATTTGTATTATGTCCGTTTTGTGTATCTAAGGTAGATATAGGAAAGCCAAGACATGGAATAATAGAGAAACACATTTATAGGTATAGAATCTGAAATAGTTAATAATGAGAGAGGCCATTTACAAATAAAAGTGAGTGCTACAACATATTATCTTCGCAGCGACGTTTCTGAGGCACGTTCAGGGACACCTATATTCTGAGTCGTCTGTATGTTTTTCTGTGTCTTTCAGCCGGTCACTGTGGGATCCCAGAAGGCATTGTGAACGGTCAGGTGATCGGGGAGAACTTTGGTTACCGTGATACGGTCGTGTATCAGTGCCTGCCTGGATTTCGACTAATAGGCTCATCGGTTCGAATCTGTCTCCAAGAAAACCAGTGGTCTGGACAACTGCCTGTCTGTATATGTAAGGAATACACTTATCCGTCTCTTTTACAACCTATGATCTGGTCGGCTTCCTGTCTTTTCAGAAAACTGACATTACAAGCAGTAGAAGAAAGCATTTGTTCAGAAGGAAGCGGTCGACTCAGTGAATAGGAAATTACTAAATCAAGAGTGTCCTGATCCAGCACATCATTATAAAAACGCCTGAAGAAAAATATTTGCTGTAGTTCAGTGGTTACACAAACAATGATTTAGGGAATACTAACAAGGATCAAGCCTTTTGGGTATGTGGGAGTAAGTGTGGTGGTGTTGATGTCTGGTTGATACAAACAATTTCATTTATTGAAAACAATTTTTATTTCTGCTTGATTTGCTCTCAAAGGTGGGGTAGGTAGGTTTGAGAAACCGGCTCGAGATACACTTTGTGTTATATTCCATGGAATGCTCTTAACATCCCGATAGCAATGAATATCTTAAGTGCTTTGACAAAAAATCCATTAAAAAAAATCATCTGTGGAAGCCAAGGTACTGTAAAAAGCACGACTAATCATTTTAGCCGGCCCGGCTAAAATAACTGGATGGTCTACCTGCCTGTCAGCCTTCCATCTGTGCACAAACTTATCTCGTGGCCTCATTGATCATGTGCGCGTTTGTGTGTGTTGGAAGAGGGGCTCTGTAAGGAAGTGGCAGATTTGTTCCGGCTGTGTATTTTCAAATTGTAACGCACTCGAGCTGGTTTCTACAAAATTACCTACCCCACCTTTAAGTGCAAACTCTAAATAAAAACACAATGAGAGCCTCACAACGCTGTCTTCACAATTGTGATAACATTAAAGCACAGACTTACCCTCATTTTATATTGAAGATATGTCCAGTAATTAAGCATTGCACATCTTTAACAGACTCACAAAAAGCCAACAATATACAGAGCAAATATATTGTCTTGTTTTATTCCACATTCTTCGTTGTCCAAACCTGGCCTCAAACTACCAAGAATTTATTTCAACTGCTTACATTTTGGTCGTAGATTCAGCTGTGTGAAATTGGTTTAATAAGTGACATGTGTAACAACATATTCAGTTAAAACAGTAGCTACCTTTAACATTGTTTATGGACGCAGCACCAAGGGACTCATGCCCCTTTTACACCAACGCGGTTCCAGGGCTGGTTTGGAGCTAGAGCCTGAAAAGCAGAGTTTTTTCCTGTTCACACCGCAGCGGAGCCGCCCCGAAGCTCAGAAGACCGGTGCTTTTCAAGCACCAAAAACATTGTCGTCTCCACAAATATCAAAAAACACATCGTTTTTCTAGAACAGATTACAAATCGCCTGAAAATTGTACAAACAAGTGGCAACATGTGTGATGAAGGTGTTGCGCTGGGCTATATCATGCAATCAACAGTAAAACTTAACCTCGCTCCATTGCGGAGATATTCCCGCGAGAGTGCGGAAAACAGAAATTTATTTATTTATTTCAAATGTGAAATTGTACCAATATACTCACGGACTACTAGGGGGCGCTCACGGACCACCAGTGGTCCCCGGACCACACTATAGGCGCGTTCACATCAAGTACTATTCCCACAAAGGTTCCTGAGAACTCTTTAGTTCTCATGAACTAAGTACAGATCGCGTTCACACCGGAAATTAGTTCCTGGGGGTGGATTAGGCAAATGAAGCCGCTGACGTCACTTCTTCTTCTTCTGCTTTGGGTTTACTGGCCGGCCGCAAACAACTTCACGGCGTATACTGCCGCCCAAAATCCCCGGCCGGAAGTCCCCGGAGTTGGGGACTGGCAGCTTCTACTGAAGCCTTCCGAGTAAACGGCCAGAACGCCTACACCTCCTCATCTCCACCGCTCCCATGTTTTATTTTGTGTTGTCATAAGTTAGTCTCTCTGCGTTTCTGCGCTGGGCTAATGCTAATGTTAATAATGCAATGCGAGGATAATAAAATGGCAGCTTCACAAAAGTTTTGGGGAGTTTGACGGGGCGTGGTTTGGTCACGAAAATCCCTGCTCTCTAGCAGGGANTTTGAAAACGATTTTTGGTCGAGCCAAAGTGCTGTAGCCTACATATAATAATTACCTTACAGTAAGGAAACTATACAGTAAATACAACAGCACAGTTTGTCTAGAATATCAGTATGAGAAAACGACACCCTCTATCCTTAGACCCTCACATCGTACAAGGAAAAACTTCCGGAGAAAAAACCCACAGTTTAAAGGGGAAAAATGTGAGAAACCTCAGGGAGAGCAACAGAGGAGGGATCTCTCTCCCAGGACGGTCAGACGTGCAATAGATGCCGTGTGTAAATCGAAAATATAATACATTTTACAGCGTATGTAGGCCGAATGTTTGGAAATGCATGTGTCTATAATAAAAAGATGAATCCACGAGGAAATAGCATGATTAGTTATAAAAACATCAGCTAGCTCACAATCCAACAATATTCTCACAGGACACACTAACACTTTGGAGATTATTTAGTACTTTCTTAAATTGTTCTGATATCATGGACCTTAGATTTAAAAAAAAAAATTGTTTATATACTCAGCTGTATCTCTTTAGTCTGAAAAAGGTGGTGATATTTTCCCTCAGATTTTAAGTTTAAGATGTTTTTCTTCAGTTATATAAGTATCAGACTCTAATTTGGGTAATACACCTTGACCTCAGTCACATTTCTGAATCTAATCATGTAACTTATCTTTTCTAAAATTAGATGAATTGAAGAATTGCTTTTGATGAGCATGTTTAAATCCCCAAAATAGAGATGCTATTTGATGGTCAGGATAACTTTAATGAGACCTAATCAATAACATAAATTAATAACATAAAAACAAAATACTGAACAGAAAGGCTTTTCACCGGTTGCACTGAGGTGCAGTTAATGCTCTGTGCATAATATGTACATACACTCAATAACTGTGGGGAAAACTTCTGTGTAGCAATGCAGGAGGAGTCACCGACTCAAAAGGAGACACGGGGAGAGCTGGAGCTTTGCTGTCTAACACTGATGGTTTATTTAGGAGCTTCGGCCAGAGGATTCACAAAACAAGTCAAAGAGTCAGAGGTTCTGACTTCACGGTAGAGTTGCCACGTCAAATCTGAAGAACTCTACCCCAGACCCATGTATTTAGCTAGTTCAGAGAGAATAATCAACATGCTGCATAACAAGATAGAATCAGCTTAACGCCAACAGGCAGGAACAGGGAGACAAAACACTGAGAGCACAGCAGCCAAGGTTACAGGTGCACGTGCTCAGTCAGGACAGTTTAACCTGATAAACTGGGTCAAAGTTACAGTATGGGCCTTGGAAAATATTTCCCCAACACCTTGCAATGTTTTCAAGTGACTCACTTCTTGTCTCTCCATTTCAGCTGGATTGATGGCTCCCCTGTATCATACACTGCATGGGAACAGAATGAGCCCAACTTTTCTAATAATGATGAAAAGTGTGTGACTTTATACAGTAGCATGGGTGAGTCAAACAATCCATACAGCTGTTTCATAAATATAATCTAACCTGACCTAATAATTAATGTATTTGTATTCATTGTTCTCTGTACACTCTGCACATATAGGGTACTGGAATGACATTAACTGTGGCTTGGAGCTACCTTCTATTTGCAAAAGAAGCAGTAACTTTATTAATACAACAATGGCCCCAACCACTATTCCTAAGGGAGGATGTGCACCAGAGTGGCTAGCTTTCCAAGGAAGGGTAATTTGATTTAACTGCTTAAAACAAAGATATTAATACTTTATATTTACACGTATTTCCTCTCAATTTCAGGATGTGATTTAGGTCACTCAGATGTACTTTGTTTTCCGTTAAATGTTTTTCCATCCTCTGACAAAGCTTGAATGGACACTTGTTGTTCTAACTTATAGTGATAATTCATCTTGTTTACACAGTGCTATAAGATAGTTGTGGGGGGTGACCGTAAGGGCTGGCAGGAAGCCAGGACACAATGTGTTAACCAGGGAGGAAATCTGGTTTCTATCGCCAACGATAGAGAGCAAGGTGAGTGTGTTCCTTGTGGTTGTCGTGTCATTGTGTGGTGATGTATGTATAACACAGCTTGAAGGAGTTAGAGATGAATTGTGTCTTTTTTATTTCTAGCATTCCTGACAACACAGATGCTGAGTTACAATGAGGACTTCTGGATTGGCATGAATGATGTCAACTGGGAGATGCACTTTTTGTGGACGGACGGCAAAGGCATTTCATACACCAACTGGGCAAAAGGGCATCCAGCAACATTGCCTGAAGGACGATTCGCATTTATGGACGAGGTTATTTCAACTCCAAAACATTATCCCAACAACATTGTTTCTGTATTTGAATTCAACAAAGTGATGGTCATATGCTCCTCTCACAAAAATTAAAAGGCCTAACAAATGTACCTTTTTCTGCCTGATAGACATTTGACTGTGTGATAATGGTGGGCAGCGTCTCCAAAATAACAGGATCCTGGAAGGTGGAAGACTGTCAAGCAAAACATAGCTTCATCTGTAAAAGAAACATTGGTGAGTAAAATGTTAGCAAAGTCACATTATCATAAATAAACTAAACCAATGGTCAAGTATTGTGCATATGCAATCTGGGGACAACATCAATTTTGAACGTATTATTTTTTTTCCTTTTGTAAAAAGACTCTCAGATCGCAGTCGCAGCCACAACTGTGTTACCAAAGGCTTTCTACAAACTTGGCAATGACTCCTACAAAGTGGTGGGCGAGAAGATGAGATGGGATGAGGCGAGGAGGCAGTGCCAAGCCGACGATGCTGATCTGGCCAGTATCCTGAACCCTGTCACTCAGGCGTACATCACACTGCAGGTTTCCAAGCTCAAGGAGCCTGTGTGGATCGGCCTCAACAGCAATGTGGTAAAGGGGCACCACCATTTCAAAATAATTTCAAACCGAGACCTTTAAGCTCTGTATACATTTTCACTAAATCAACTTTTCTTTTCCAGACTGATGGGCAGTTCAAGTGGGTCGATAACTGGATGATGTCATA